CCCCTAATAAAACGATTTAAAAAAAAAAAGACAGTGTGACCGGACCGTGCAGGGAATCTGATCAAGACCAAGGGAGAGAGAAACAGCCATTTCCTTCCAATCCTCCAGCAGGTGTCCGCGGGCTCACCTCATGCTCTCCAGCGCGCTCGTTACCTGCTGAGGCTCAACATCGTAGAGTTTCACCTGGAGGCCGCCACTGGCAAACAGCATAGCCCAGCTTCGCCCAATGAGGCCGCTAAAGGGAAAGAAAACGAAGAAAGGTCCGTCCTGGTCTTACAAGCATGAGCATTGCAAAATCGCGCATGCTGGGAGCTATGATCACTTCAAGTGTTTGTTGTTCTCACACGGGTGCCCCTGACTCCTCCACTCAAGTGCCAGGTGGTTCTCATGAACTCGCACATGGGGAGCAAATCATTGAATAAGGAATGGGCAGCGTGTCAGGGATCTGAAAGGTCCTGCAGGAACCCCCATTTCACTGTTGTCTCAGGCTATTTACCTAACTGGAAGGGCAGACTGCGTATTTGTGCTCCTTTTCCTCAAAGCCTCATCACAGTCCCCAGCAGTATTTACCCCTTTATTAGGCGTCAGGCAGCGTTACCAGGGCCCATCTGTCAGTGAGTCGCACGGTGCTGGCGTACGGGTTGCTGTGAAGCTCCAAGTGCTGTCACCAGTGTTTCAGATACCATTAGAGCTATGCATTATGGTCCGATTTCAGAGGGGCTTCCAAACTACCGCAGACCAGGAAGAAAGGCCTGGAGAGCTACTTCTGAAGTTTAAACCATGAAAACCACACGGATTACAACAGAGCATCACCTGACCCTGCATACCTCATCAGGACAGATCAGTCGCTGGAGGAGGACATCATGTTTGGTGAAGCTGAGGCCATGGGGAGCAAGGAGATGCTTGGTGCGATGGATTGGCCCCTGGCTGCAATGCTGGACTTGAACGTGCCTGCTATGATGGGGATGAGCCAGGAGCAGGCAGCATTTCATTCTATTGCTCATACCAGCACCATGAATCAAAGTTGGCTCAATGGCCATTATCCATCTAGGGCTAGGCACCATTAAACACTTCACCTGTATTTCCTTCGTTAAGCATTCTAGCAAACCCTACGAGGTAAGTGATACTATTTCCATTTTATGCATGGAAAAACTTAGGCACAGAGGAGCTGAAGCCTCACAAGATATAAGCGCTGATGCTGTAATACGAACACAAGCCATTTGACTCTTGAGTCTGTATTTTTTTTAATTATTTTTTGTTGCCACTATACACAGCACATACACTAACTCAACAGTTTCTACATGAATAATTCGGAGACATTGAATACATTCTTCATATCATACAATCATTCTTTTTCTTATTTTTCCAAATTGTCCCTCCCCCATCAACACAGATTTGCTACCTCTTTAAGATTCCTACTTAATCTTTAAAGTTGCCCCGTCCGGTACAGCGCTCAAGGCAGGCAGTCGTTAGTAGTTTAGGACTTACTTGTAACTAGTATGGCTGCTCATCTATTAGGAAGCGCCAGGATTAAAGAGATATGAAGCACACACTTGGGTCATTAAGTCAAAAAGTATTGCTACATACACAGCTTGAGTAAACAAAACTGTCAACATGGGAAGCTATTGTTTCTCACAGGATCCTCCTTCTCGGTCTACACACTTCTGAAGCAGCATTTCCATCTCTAGAGCAGTGGTCCTCAACCTTCCTAATGCCGCACCCCTTTAATACCGTTCCTCGTGTTGTGGTGACCCCCCCTCCCCAAACCATAAAATGACTTTAATTACTACTTCATCACTGTAATTTCACTGCTGTTATGAATCAGGTGACCCCTGTGAAAGGGTCGTTTGACCCCCAAAGGGGTCACGACCCACAGGTTGAGAACCGCTGCTGTAACCCTTCCCTAAAGAACTCTAGGCTCTTGATTTACACCAAATCAAAACAGTAGTGTGGACACCCTAATCGTCGTGAGTCACGCTGCTTTTCAACACTGAGTTTGGGGAACAAAAAGACAGCCGAGAGGGGCACAATCGGGCCGGAGGGTCGATGGGGTAATGTTCCCAATGACATTCTTGTAAGATCACCCTTGCTACCGTCAAAGAATGAGCAGGTATGCTGTCCTAATGGGGGAAACATTCCTTGGTACAATTTCTTGACCTTTTTTTTTCTCACCAAAGCAGTTTTCAATTTTTTAAAAATTTCCTGATAATAAGCCCCCGGGATGGCCTCTGTCCTTCAAGATGATCTATGAAGTTTACCTTTTGGAATTAAAAAAAACAAACAAACAAAAACCGGTTGCCATAACCTTCCAAGCTGATCTCTCTGCCCCGAATTTAACTGGTTCAGTAGATCCCCTGGAAAGCCATCCTTTTGATTGGATCATTCTCGGAAGGTGCCCTAATGAGCCTAAGACAAGTGCATTACTGGGAGAACTTCTCTGAAGACATCTACTGGTCACAGAGATTTGTTTAAGCACATTTTATTTGGAATAAACATGTGCATGCATAAACTGAAACCCTAGTAGCAATGCTGTTTTACTTATCCTCTTAGGAATATAGGAGACACGGTATCACCCAGAACTTGGATTCCAACAGCATTCCCCAACAAAAGGAACCAAACATCCCTGGAGAACTGACTGATTCTAGACCTGGGCAGAAAATGTGCACGATAATTTCAAAGCATCTTGTAGTGCCAAAAAGTTCTAAAAAAATTTTTTTTAATGTTTTTAATAAAACACTACATTGATGTAGGTAGGTCAAACTGAGTTACCATGGCCGAATCTGGGACAATTTGAGCAACACAATAAAGTATATTGGGATATAGGCCAAAAGATAAAATTAATATCTGAGTCCCTAATGCTTTGAATAAACAAAGGGGAGAAAAGAGACAAATTCTAAATGATTATGGGTCGCTATCGGCTCTCCACTAGGGGATGCATCACTCCCCACTTAGTGGACTATGCACAGTGACTTCCTTCCAAGGAGCACAGTATGGAAACGGGGGAGAAAAGTAGGATCATACAGTGGCAAACTTACAACTACTACCTCTGCTAGGCTCCAGGGTTAACATCGTCAATGATAAATCAAGTGCCTTTGATATGTAATGAAAACAATATTTTCTCTGTATGGTTTTGCTCCCCCAAACCCAGAGTCTAATCATGACAAAAACACCACACAAAAAAAAAACAAACCCAAAAATGGAATATCCTACAAAATAACTGACCAGTTGTCCTAAAATATATGTGAGTCATCACAAATGAGAGAAAGAAATCTGAGAAAGCATCACTGCCAAGAAGAGCCAAGGGGATGTGACAACTGTGGTAGTCAGATGACTTCTTCTCAACTAGAAACCTTTGGCTAGGGGTGGAGTCAAGCCTGTCCCTCAGGTCACAGCCTGATGCTGTGTCCTCGGGGGTGTGGCCTTCTCATAACAGAGACCCTGGACTCTCCCCCTCACTCTCTGGGGCTGACCCCTTCCATGTTTCCATTGACCTTGGATTCACACAACTCTGCACCCATTGGCCTGTGAGCTTCCTGTATTCTTCATGACTGCATGAGGCTCTGTGAGTCTGAAGAGGGACTTAGGAACAGTATTGAACTTATGAACTTGAGTTGGACTGGGCTGGGATGCTTTTTTGATCATTAATTCTTTATATAAAGCTTTTTTATACCTATGAGTCTGCAGAATTTGTTTCTCTAGCCTAACACAACAACTAAATATGATGCGGTGTCCTGAGTGGGATCCTGGGCAGGGACATCAGGAGCTCTGGATACCGGTGGGTTGACATCAATAACAATGTCTCAGCACCCGTTCATCAATGGTAACAAGGGACCGTACTAAAGCAAGACGTTGCACTAATAACTGGGTAAGGCAATATATTGGGACTCTTGGTATCATCTTGATTTTTCTCTAAATCTTAAATTCCTAAAAAATGCCTTTTAAAATTAAGTGTATTCAACAATCATTTCACACTCTTAGCCCAAAGAAATAAAACCTATGTCCACTCTAAAACCCATTCATGAAACATTGTACATTAACATCATGATAAGCCAAAAAGTGAGAAACAATTCACATGGCCATAAATAGACAAATAGATGACCACAATGTGATATAGCCATCTGGGGGAGTGGGGAGTGGGGGGAGGCAAAGTAAAAACCTCTATTGCTGTGGAGTGCTTTCTGAGTCACAGTGACCCACAGGACAAAGAACTGCCATAGGGTTTCTAAGGCTGTCCTCACGATGGAAGCTGGCCGCCACACCGTTCTCCCACCAAGTGGCTGATAGGCTCAAACGGTAGACCTTCTGATTCGCAGTCAAGTGCTTTCACTTCTGTGCCACCAAGGCTCCATGGGACATTACTCAACCACAAAAACGGAATGAAGGACTGACACAGACTACACTCTGGACAAACCTTCAAATCATTATTCTAAGTGAGAAAAAGGCCCATGGTATCGCATCCTCTACAGGAAATGTCCAGGACTAGGAAGCCCATCAAGACAGAAAGTAGGCTGAGGGAAGAGAGGGCAGGGGCTGACCGCTAAGAGCCATGAGGTTTCTTTTTGGGGTGAGAAAACATCCACAATTAATTCTGGTGACGCGTATCTATTAACTCTGAATATGCCCAAAGCCACTGAACTACACACTTTAAAGTAAGTGACTATTTCCATAAAGCTGCTACACAGACAGGAATGCAGGTGAATACGCTTTGAAAACTCACTCCTGCCCCACAACTATAAAGCAATAATACTTAGTAAGTACTTACATGTGGGAAACAAATATTACATTTGGCATAAATTATCCTTAGAATTCTTCCCATTAAGCACTTGCCCGGTGTGTGTGTGAGCGTTCAGTCAGATCAGCAGAGGGAACGGCTGTAGCCCGGATTACCCAGTGGGGTGGCTTTTCTCAGCAGTGGTGGCTGCAGCACCACGGGTCACACAGCTAAGACACAGCAAAACTCAATGAGGGCTAACCCTAATCCCCAGCCCCAGTGCTGTTGCCATTTCAACTACAGCAAATCCAAGCTGGCTGCCTAAGAAATAACACAACGGTGACCTCACATGCCACAAGCTAAGAGTATAGCGCAACTTACTACATGATCTGTGCACTAACACCAAACCCAGTGTCATCTACTCAATGCCAACCAACACCAAACTCAGTGTCAACTAACACCAAACTTAGGGTCATCTAGTCAATGCCAACCAACACCAGACTCAGGGTCATCTGCTCAATGCC